CTTCAGCACCTCCAGCTCACAGGACACACACTCTCACACTCACTCACACTCACTCACACTCTCACACTCACACTCACTCACACACACTCACACACACTCACTCACACTCACACTCACTCACACTCTCTTTCAGTCCCGTACCGGAGTGCGGTCATGCGGGACACCTGTGCGGTCAGCCTGGCCTCGGGGATCAGCTCCAGCTTCAGCACCTCCAGCTGGCCCAGGGAGAAGAGGGCAGGTGGCAGGCGGGGCAGGCCACACAGGTGCAGCTGGGTGCGGCCGCGGTGGTCCCGGGTCACCAGGCCCCGCAGCCTCTCCGCACCCCACTGCTGCTCCAGGCTCTCCTCCAGCAGCCGCGTCTCGCTGCCGGGCGACAGGAAGACGGCCAGCCGCTGGCCGGGCAGCGGGTCGTACTGGTCAGCCAGGTGCAGCAGGAAGGCAAAGTCGTTCCTCACGTCCGGCACGTCGCGGATCGAGCTCTCCTCACGCACGCGCTGGAAAGAGTACTCCCGCAGGGACCTGCAGCGGGACAGCGGCACCGCAGACTGGACTGATTACCAGACTGGACTGAGCCCACACTGGACTGATCCACACTGGACTGAGCCCACAGTGGACAGAGAGACAGACAGACAGACTAACAGAGACATAGAGACACACTGGGACAGACCTGCGGAATATCCAGCAGAGAGTGTAGAGCCCCAGCAGCCCGTACAGCCACACCAGGGCCAGGTAGGACAGCAGCAGCTTGCGCAGGACGCTGGCCAGGTCGTGCGTGCAGCGGAAGGCGCTGTAGCCCGTCAGCGCGTGGATCTGCGGCCGACACTCGTGAGTGAAGGAGATGGAGCCCAGCAGGGGAGAGGTGTAGCTCACGATCAGCACAAACTTCACAACCTTGAACACCGTCTGAGCCACATACACCTCGGGAGACACAGCACCACAGTACAGAGCTCAGCAAGTAGTAATACCACGTGCAGTCAGGTCAGCATTAAATAGTGCACTACAGCACCGTGCGTCACAATGTAGTACACTACAACACAGTGTAACACAATATAGTACACAATAATGCAGTGCCACACGGAGCAATTTAACACAGGGCAATACAATATGGTATGCTATAGCACTGTGCAGTTTAGCACGGTGCAATTTAGCGCACTGCAATCCAATATAATACACTGTAGCACAGTGAAATTTAGTACAGCACAATACAATATGGTGCACTATAACACAGTGCAATTCAATATTGAGCACTATTGCACAGTGCAATTTAGTACACTGTAGTGTGGTGCAGTTTAACAAAATGGAATACAATATAGTACACTATAGCACAGTGCAATTTAGAACAGCACCATACCACATGGTATGCTATTGCACAGTACAATTTAGCACAGTGCAATTCAATATGATGCACTGTAGTGCAATTTGAAACACAATGCAGTACAATGTCGTACACTCTAGCACAGTGTAGCACTGTAGAGCAGAATGAGCAGAGCAGGGAGAAGACACTGACCTTGTACACCAGGTCGCCCTCCTCGCTGTGCGCCCGGAACCTGCGCACCCTCTCGAACAGCGCGCGGGCCGTCTCCCCA